GAGGGCTGTGTATCATAAATCTTAAAAGAAGGTATTCTAATATTAATTATAAGTCTAAGATGTATAAAGTTCTCACAAACGTGTTTCACTTCCAGAAGAAAATAAACAAAAACAAAACAAAAAAACCCCCACCCCCAAACAACTGTCACTTTAACTTTGTAAATATTTATGTAAACATTATTTACAAGACTTTGATATTATATATTATTTGATTGTATATGTACACAGTGTAAATACATTTGTACCTCTCTTGTATTCTAAATAAAAATTACTTGGAACATTTATCATTTAGAAGAGGGATCGCATGGAGAGCTTTATTTTATGTGCCAGGGGAAGGATGTGGGTGTTGGGATGAATGAAGGTCTTAATTACAACAATGTGTGAGTGAGGAGATGCGGTGTCATCTGTTGGACCAAGAAGTGCACCTGGGAGGGGGAAAAAACCCAGGTTTTGGCTAAAGAAGGCCTTTTTCAGGTCTGGAAGATGGGATAAGGGCTGGCTCACTCTGGAGTGGGTATGATTCCACCCTGCCAGTCCCTATTCTTGTGAACTTTTACAGCTCCTCTTTGAAGCCACAGCTACTTGTCGTTTGATACATCCCGTGAATTAGTGCCCACATTTCGGCTGTGATACAGGTGGGATATGGGTATGGGATACAGCTGCAAGCCCCGCTGGAAGGAAGCGACATTATTTGCTGATGGTCATCGCAACCGGTGCTTGAATGGATTCAACTTTTCCACGGTCGTATCGGTTCGTGCTGGCACAGCTCGGCCGAGGGGAAGGGCTCATCCACGGGGATGTTTAAGCCCAGCGTGAGCAGCGGCCAGCTGGGGAGGACATCAGAGGATGGCCCTCAGGGGGACACCTTGTGTGAGGGACACCCGGGCTGTGGGTGAGCCCCAGGGGCGTCCCCCACGTTCGCCAGGCGGGTTCTGAGGGAGCGGGTCACTGCCGCGGGGTGCCCGCACTAAACATGGCCGCGCTTCCCTTTGGGCTCCACCGCAACGAAGCCCAAAAGGATCCTCATTGCCAGGAACAAGCATGGCTGCCCAGTCACCGCCCCTGCCGCCCTCACTCAAGATGGCGGCGCCCGCGCCCTCAGGCGCGCTTTCGCCAGCAGCCAACATGGCGGGCGGAAGGCGCGTACGGCGGGGCCAAGATGGCGGCGGTCACCATGAGGCTGCCGGCGGTCCGAGCGCCTCTGGATTCCAGCGCGCCCCGGGGCGGCGAGAAGCACCTGGTGGCACCGGGGGACACGATCACCACGGACACGGCATACATGAGGTGCGGGCAGCGGCGGAGGGGAGGCGGCGGCGCGGCGCGGCGCGGCTTCGAGCTGTCCTTAGGTAGCCGCCGTCTCTCCGCAGGGGCCACGGTACTTATGTGGAGGAGGACAAGCTGATCGCCTCGGTGGCCGGCGTGGTGGAGAGGGTGAACAAGCTGGTGTGTGTGAGGGCGCTGAAGGGCAGGTGAGCGCGGCGGGCGCGGGCCGGCGGCGGGCCCGGTGTGAGGTGTGAGGTGTGAGGTGTGACCGCCGCTCTCTGCCCCAGGTACAACGGCGAGATCGGCGACATCGTGGTCGGCAGGATCACCGAGGTAAAGCCCTGTGTTTGTGCAGGAGGAGGAGGGTGGTCGTAGCTCAGTCCGACTCTAAGCGCTTCCCGGGATCCTAAAACACTCACGCATCAATGTCCCTGCGCAGGGTACTGGGAACGTGTGGATTTTTACCGGGAAGAAGCCAGCAGAGCTGTCCCCTCCTGCGGCTCAGTGCAGTTTTGATTGTGTACCCATAAGTTTGGGTGGTTTTTTCCCCTTTAGGTTCAGCAGAAGCGATGGAAAGTGGAAACAAATTCCAGGCTGGATTCAGTCCTGTTGCTGTCGTCTATAAATTTACCTGGCGGGGAGCTGGTGAGTGTAGATGGTTGTGTTTTGCATGGCATCTTAAGGGCCCCCACAATGAGCTACTGGTGGATGTTTCCTCGTTCTGGGATACATGTAACTTTTCTCGTGATTTTTCAGAGAAGGAAATCAGCAGAAGATGAGCTTGCAATGAGGGACTACCTGCAGGAAGGGGATCTCATCAGTGTATCCTTCTGCTGCTCCCATTGACAGAAGAGCCAAGGGCATGGGAAGAACAGGGAGAGCTTGGCTAGGGGTGAGAGCTCTGCTGGGGTGGCACTGGGCAGCCTTAGGGACTCTGTTTCCTTAAGTGGCACCGACAGGCAGAGGTCCAGTCTATATTTTCTGATGGGGCTGTATCACTGCACACCCGAAGCCTGAAGTATGGGAAGGTGAGTTATTCCAAAGCCCTTGATCCTGGGAAAAATCTGCACCAGCTGACTTGTACAAGGCTTTTTTAAGAAAAGAGCTCAGAGTAGAGCAGGATGTTGTTATAATCCATTCCTGCAGGACAGGAAGACTCTCAGCTCTTCCACGGGACCACCAAGCAAAGTTTCCCTGAAGCAGAGGAGGTGTCCTTGAGTTGCCCTTTGATCCACTGCTCTCCCCATCCACAGTTTCAGCCTGCTATTCTGTTTCCCCCCAATAGCCACTTGGGAACTAAATCCTGGGGAGAGATCTCCTCACTCCTCTTCCGCTGGCTGTTGCCCCTGTGACTTGTTCCTCTCCCCAGGGCTCTGTTTTAGGCTTTACGCAGTTGGCATTTATCTCTGGTTTTGTGCATTGAAATAGGCCAAGGGACCGTTGGAGCGTAGGCTGCAGTTTGGGATTACCAGACCAAGGGTATTAGCACTTAAAAGATGAAAGGGAAGTGTGCTTATTGCACAAAGGGTGAAGGACAGTGATTGGATTACCAGAGAAAGTGTTCTGCTAAATTGGGCCTCTGACTCCTCATTTTTCTGCAGGGATGGTTGATGTGTAGTTACGATCAAGATATTATTAACATTTGTGCTAAGCACTTAGAGTATTCTTCATCTTCAAAAGGCTGCACAGGCATTAGCTAATCCTCCCAGTGCTGCTAGAGGCAGGCAGGTTTTATATTTACCGTTTCACAGGAAGAGAATTTAAAACAGTGTTGCTCCTAGGCCAGGAACGGAGTGAGTGTGTATCAGTGACTTGGTGTTATCTGTGGTGGTTCATGATGTCTCTCACACTGAGCCTCGTGGTGTGCTCTCCAGCTTGCCCAGGGTGTGCTGGTTCAGGTCTCTCCCTCCCTTGTGAAACGCCAGAAGACTCATTTCCATGACCTGCCCTGTGGTGCGTCCGTGATCCTCGGCAACAATGGCTTCATCTGGATCTACCCAACCCCGGAGCAGAAGGATGACGAGGCCGGAGGCTACACGGCCAACTTGGAGGTGAGCATCCAGGGAACGTGAGCCTTCTTCTGCCAGTGATGGTTTTTAGTCTGACATAGTCAGAGGCACGTGAGGAACCCGAGAATTTCAGGATCTTGTGTTAGGTTCACAGCAAGGCTTTTTTACTTGCATTATTTCCCTGTGCATTCATCCCTTTTCCTCTGTCCTTCCTCAGCCAGTTCCCTTGTCTGACCGGGAGGTGATCTCACGGCTCCGAAACTGCATCATGGCTCTGGTTACTCACAAGATCATGCTGTTTGACACCAGCATCCTGTATTGCTATGAAGCATCCCTTCCTCATCAGGTACAGGAACCAGTAGTGTTTATTCCACACTGAGGGGAGGGAACAGAAAGGCTGCATCAGTTGCTGCTGAAGTCAGAGTTTCCTTTCAACTTACCAAAGCATCCTGTAGTAAGTGACAGTATGAACTCTCCTCTTCTGCACAACATAAGTTGCACAATTTCAAGGAATAGTTTGAAAGGTTCTGCCTCTGGCAAAGACTAACTATTCCTAAAGAGAGATCAGTTCCTTTTTTGATAGATGCTGTGAATCCCTTGCTGGGATTATGGACCCTTTAATTCCTGTGAAAACAGTGTTAAATTTGGCATTGTATGAGGCCACAGTGCATTTTATGAAGCAGTGAAAAAGTAAATGTCATGTATTGTACAGAGAGCAGGCTCATGACTGTATCCACATCCTGCATTCTGGAAGACTACCTCCATTTGATCTCTTGCTGTACAGCTTTTCACTGTGATTCCTGCCAGCACAATCACGGGCAATTTTCTTCCCATAAGTAAATGAGATCTGAATTCTGCTTTCATTCCCAATTAGGTGTTCTTTTGAAGTATAACTGTGCCCTTCCCAAATACAGTGTGTGTCCTTCAGGGAAGATGAGGAGGGTTAGTAGCCTCTCCTTTGATTTCCTCTGGTCTCTGTCAGAATCCTCAACTGGCAAAATTAATTATGCCTTAGACCCTCTGCCATAGGTCTTTTTTCACCACAACCCTCCAAACTCCTTTGCTGATCACTGCCATGTGTCAGGGACCTTTGTCTCCCCACAGAGTGCAGAAGTAGTTGTTGGTTCCTGGTGCTCATATTGCTCTTCTTTCCACTGCAGATCAAGGACATTCTCAAACCAGAGGTGACAGAGGAGATCGTTCTGGAAGCTCGGCAGAGGTTGCTGGATTTGGAGGGATAGGATAGGGCACATGGCCAGAAGCAGTCATTTGAAATCCCAGCATGGCAGCTTTGATTCTCAGTATTATATGTTCTTTTTCAGTGTTCTAGTCCCCAACATTCATTCCACACTTCAGAAACCACCAAAATTCGTCACTCCTAGGATATCTCCTGTGTCCTTTTAGTACAAAGTAGTACTTAAGTACAATAGCCTTTTAGTGCAACAGCCTGAAAAATTGATATCTGACCTTTATAAAGATCAGATGCAACTGGGACGTGTCTCCTAATACCTGTTGCTGTGTCTAGTGTCCCAGAACTTTGTGCAGAAAGACAGAGAGGAAAGGATTTGTTTTGTGATGTTTCTTTCCCCAGAAGACGATTTGAATTTTAATTTACTTGTGATACAGATCTGCAAGTCTGTTCCCTGACTGAGAGCCCATGTTTTTAAGAATGAAAATCCAGACACATGTGTTTAGAGAACAGGAGTATCCACAGCCTTGCTAACCACAGTTTGGGTCTGGCTGTTCATGACTTGAATGTCTCAGGGGTATGAGATGGGATGTGGCTGTCTCTGTCCATATGAGCCAGGAGCTGAGGACAAGCAATCTCCTGGTTTGTGTGTATCCTGCTGGTCTTTTTTTTTTTATGCCTGAGAGGTGAGCTCCGCTTCCGAGGAGGTACCAATATGGTTTTGTATTAAGTATTTTACATTTCAATAAATTTTTTGAAACAAATCAGTCCTTCAGCAGTGTGTGCATTGGCTTGTTTTTAGCCTAGCTTGAGAGCTGTGGTTGACTCAAGTTTCCTTGTGCTAGGACACTTGGAATGGTTGCACTGTCTTATCTCTCTTTTAGTTGTTGCCCTTCATCCCAGCAGGACTTGACATTCCTCTTCAGCCCTTGCAGGGTCCTCTGTAAGGATTGCCTGGTGCTCACAGTGGCTTTCCAAGCATTGCCTCCCTGCAGGATCCCTTGGAGAGGTGACTGGAGGATGATGGGGAGCCCAGTATGGCACTGGTGAAGATCTTCAGGCTGGTGGTTAGAGGTGGACATGTTGAGCCAAGTGTTGGCAGGCAGTCAGTCACGTTCTCTGTGAAGGATGTGATGCTTTCCCTGGAGAATCCTCTCAGCTCCAGGTGCTCTGTTACAGCTGGTTTGTTATATATGTACTCTATCTATTTTTATTGCAAATATATCCTTGCACTACAGCACTGTAATTCTTAAAAAGGATGATAAAACAACTGAACCAGTTGTCCCTGAATCCAATTGCGCGTTGCAAGAAATTCCCTTCGTTGCTGTCCCTGTTTCCCTGTGGTCCCGAGCAGGCACTAGATGGCACCTTTGGATCGCGTTTGTGGCACTTCCCTTGGCCAGCAGCTCCGCCTCGCTGCCCTGCCAAACAGCAGGGCCTGGACGGCTGCCACCAGCACTGCTGCCCAAATCCTAAAGCACAATGGGGCTGAGGACAGGCAAGGACATGGCTAATCCCTTCTGCTGCCTCTGAGAATAGCACTGAACTTGTTGGGAGTATCACTGGAATGCTCCACACAAGACCTGGGAATTGTTATTTTTGAGTTTTAAGAGGATTTCTTGTAAGTGTTGCAACAATCACACCCTCAAGAAGACTGGGGAACTTTGAAAACCAAGGCTTGATGGTGACACTTTCAGGTATCCATGAGGCTGCTGGTAGCCACATACACACCTCCATGGACACGACTGGTTCGAAAGGACTAAAAAAGCTTTAGCAGTCTGCATCTTTTACTTAGAAAAGTACTTTTTTTCCCCCCTTACCCAATGCTGTAGTTTACCAGCTGTTTATCTTATTACCACAGGGGGAGATTCAGGGATTTCTGATAAAAAATAACTCAAGATCTGGACTGCTTCAGCTCTCAGCTTTCTGATTCCTCCTGCTTGCTGCAGGGTTCCTGAAGTTATGGCATTATGATGTGTTAAATGGGGGAGGCATGTGACATAACCAGTTCCATTACTCCTGAATACCTGGTACTTTTGGTTTTAGACCCAAGAAGAACACCAGCTGCTGAGGTTTGGTTGTGAATCTTTCCTGATGGGAGGGAACCAAAAGTCTGTGTTTTCCCCAGTGACCATGAGGGGTAATTACTGATCTCTCCACATTCAGCCAGTGCTGTGCCAAGACCTAAATTCTGTAACATGGCTTCAGCAAGGTCATTGCTGGCAGTTCCCATCCAGCAAAGCTCTGCAGCAGCAGGTAAAAACAAGCCAGCAACAGCAGTGTCCCCTTAAATTCTTGAAATAGTCTGTGAGATTTTGCTGGGCAACTTCTAAGCAGGAAGGGTGAAAGGGAAGAAACTATGGCTTCTCTGGTTTAAGGGGAAAAAAAAAGTAATTGAAAGTAGGGTGGTAAAAACCTAATAAGTGTTCATTTTTATATGGGGAACTAAAAGGCCCATGCAGGCATTAAAACAGCTCAGACCAACCTGATTTCTTTGTTCACCAGTGTCTGACACTGTTTGTAAAGCAGCTGTAGCTCCTCCTGTGCTGCCTCCTCCAGGGTTAATACATGGTGCAGTTGTGCTCAGAAATGGAGTTGGTAACTAGTTCCCTTGCTGGTGAGTGTTGCCTGTAGGAATGAGAACACAACATCACTCATCTGCAAAAAGAATTTTCTTGTTTCTTGGGGCCAGTGTTCATGTACTAATAGGAAGAATTCCTTTTCTCCTAGGAATAACCACTGAGACTTTAAATTTGTGCTAATGGGTTATTAATCCAATTACTGCTGCTTATTGCATTACTTCTGTACCATCCGTGCAGTTTTGCTGTTCAGCTGAGAGTGGTACAAATAAAAAGCTTTGCACAGACCTGAGAAGAGACTGAAATCCCACTGAGATTAGAGACATCTTGAAATGGTTCTCTCAGGTTCCTGAGGACTGTTAATTAACATGCTAAGTTTTATTATTTGGTGAAGAGGTTGAGTTTTAAAGATAATGTTATGGAGAAAATGTTACTGCAGCTGCTGGGTGAGAACACACACTTAATGGGAGGTAAACAGAAAAAGTACTGAAGTATCTCTTCACAAAAAATAAATGGTAGGATGTACACAGGCTTGATTGAAAAAAACACTGTAGCTTTTTTTTTTAACTTATTCTGTATTCACACCACTTTGTCTCTGTCTTCTCTAACAATTTCTGAATCTACTGGGCAGCTTCCAAGTTTAACATGAGAGTCATGTTCACAAAAACTGGCAGCAGGGTTGGGGCCAGAACATGCAACACCCTTCAGGAAGGGGAAGAAGGCAGGTATCTCCTGCTGTGACATTTGGGAGTGACCTGCTGACTCATCTGCCTGTGTATTGTCCCACATCAAGTACAGCAATGCTCTGGGAAACAGGAAATGCTTTTGGAGAAACTGCTGAGTGGAAGGCTGGGAACTGCTGGCAAAGAACCTGCCCCACTTTGCTGCTTATGATTGCACAGCATCAGAAGGAATAACTGCATGTCGGCCTGAATGATAAACTCACCTGGTCTGTTAAATAAAAAGTAAATGCATTCATCTGCACAGATCTCAGGCAAGCCAGGGAAGAGCATATTTACAGCCTGTACTGTCAACAGCACAGCCCTGCAAGTGTTTAAGGACAGGTTGGATGGGGCTTGGAGCAATCTGGTCTAGTGGCAGATATCCTTGCCTGTGGCAGGGGGTGGAATATGATGGTCTTTAGGGTCCCTTCCAACCCAAACAGTTCTGTGATTCTATGAGGTCCTGCATATTTGCAATGGCTTTTGCTTAATTTGGTGAAGGTTTTTCTGACTATTGTGCTTGTCTTCTGGAGCTTACTCTGCTTCAGCCCTGCCACGGTAGGAGAGATTATCCAGCATGCTCCAGTCAGACCCAAAAAAGAGTAACTTTTACAGTGAAGAATGGTTGGTATTGGGTTTTGTGACAAATTTCTCTTGGGCTGCTTGGCCTGTGCTGACAGCCTCATTTCCTCACTTTCCTTCAGTCTGTGGGAGCCGAGTGGCGGTTGTATCATCTTGGTGAGAAGCTGATCCCCATTACTGAGATAAACATAGAGAAATTCTGCAGAGTTCAACAGATGTGACCCTGGATTTGTCTCAGCACGAGAATCTCTCCTGTGTGGGTGTGTGTGCAGCACAACCAGTCTCAGTACCTGCAAACTGAGCAATTGATGGAGAAATCCAATAGAAATGGTTTGAGCTCAGTCTCCTGACTAAGAATTAGTGATGTAGGAGCAGCCTGGCACAGCAGAGGTGGAGGATCCCGCAGGGCTGTATGAAGTGCTACATTTTGGATGCTATTGTTAGAAGATGAAAAATACAGGTCTGCCACAGACCTTGAATATGGCATAGGAGACATGGAGCGTGTTTGGATTTGTCACAAGGGAAGAGTCCGTATAAACAAGCTGCTCTGTGTCCAGATGGTTGCCCTGAGCAGGAGGCTACAGCACAGAATTGCAAATGTGTGTTCTCCTGTTGTCGAGTGGGAGCAACCACAGACCTTTGACCAAAACATCCTGACCTCAAGCTGCTGCCTTGACCCTCTTATATTCCCAAGGTGAACTGGAGAATGTATGAAAAACTAAATATCTTCAGCACCATGGTCTGTTCTTTAGCTCAGGGAACTCTCAGTGCCTGCTGAAGAATTCGGGGCTTTAACTCCATCTTTGCACCAAACGGTGCAAAAAAATTGGTCAATAGAATATTTTTTCAATTGTCACTAGACTCTATGGCTGTTTTTGCTATCAAGTTCTTGTGTGCTGAGAGCGTTCATAAGGAAGTGAAGTCCTTTGTGCAAGCAGGGTGACAGATTCCTGGCTGTGCACACAGCTCACACAGTATGGATCTCTTCTTCCTCTTCCATCTCTGCAAGCATCCAGGGTCCAGAGCTGGCCAGAGGCTCTGAGACCCTTGCAGAGTCAGATCTGAGGGAAAACAACTTGGCTGGCCCCTCCAAAGAGGTAAGGGATTTCACATGAGTTTTTTTGGGCCTTTTCACAGGGCTTTTTCACGGAATCATAGATTAGTTGGGGTTGGAGGGAAAATCTGGAGATCATCCTCTCCAACTCCCCTGCCAGGGCAGGGTCACCTGGAGCAGGTGACACAGGAATGTACCCAGGTGGGTTTGGCATATCTTTAGAATGGGAAACTCCACACGCCCTTTCTTAGCATCTGTTCCAGAGCTTTGCCACCTTCAACCTAACGAAATTCTTCCTCATGTTGGGGGAAACATTCTGTGTTTTAATTTATGGCCATTGCTCCTCATCCTGCCACCGGGCACCACTGAAGAGAGTCTGGCCCCATCCTCGGACACGCCGGGGAGACACTGACATGGATTGCTGAGATCCCCTCTCAGCCTTCCCTTCTGCAGACTAACCCGGCCCAGCTCCGCAGTGTCACCTCATCAGAGAGCCGCTCCAGCCTCCCGGGATCTGCAGAGATGTCCCAAATCCTGCGGGTGCGCCCCGCAGGAGCTCTCCGGCTGCTCCTTGCCCATCTTGTCACCCATGAGGTGCCCAGCACTGGGCACAGCGCTCCAGATGCGCAGCGCAAAGGGAGGATCCCGTCCCTGCCCTGCCGGCCCCGCTGCTCGGAGCCTTCTCCCGGTGCCGGCTCCGGGAGCGGGGCCGGGCTCGGGCCGCGCCGGGCGGGAGGCGGGGGCGGCGGAGGAGGAGGGGCCGGAAGGGGATGTGACCGCCCGCCCGCCGGCCCGGGGGTTCCGGGATCTCCCTGGCCGCCTCCGCCGGTCCCGCAGCCCCGGGGTACCCGCGGCGCCTCGCCCCGCTCCGCCCGCCCGGCCCCGCTGCCGCCGCCGCCCGGGGATGCGGCCGGCGCGGTGCCCCCCGCCCGCCCCGGCCCGGCCGCTGGGCACGAACCGGCCTCCCGGAGCTCCCCGGCCTCGCAGCCCCGCGCCCGGCTCCGCCTGAGGCAGCGGGCACGGGGCGCCGGCCCGGCCGCCCCAGCGCTGCTCCGACGCCGCCATGGCCCCGGCGGGGCCCCCGGCCCCGAGGTAGCGGCGGGGAAGGAGCCGGAGCCCGGTGACCGAGGGGCGCCCGTCCCATCCCTGCAGCCCCGGAGCCCGCCCGGAGCTGCTGCTGCTGCTGCTGCTTCGCCTGCAGGGCTGACATGGTTCCAGCGCACCTGACCCGGCCGGACTTCAGCGATACTTAACGCGGCTCTTTGGCCTTTGCTAACTCAATGCTATGCAAAAGAAAAGGAGGAAAAAAAAAAGAAACCTTGACACTAGTTGTGGTGGGAATGGCTGTTTCCTGTCCTGGGTGAGCCTATGTGTGGTTTCTTGCTTGTGAGATGAACTAATTAATTCTACTTTACCCAGTGGAAGACACACTACATATGGCAACTTGAAACTTTGGTAATGCTTGGTCATTGCTGAGCGGTTGGAACTTTTACTAGTTTGTTTTGTTTGGTTTTTATTTTTTTAAAATTTTTTTTTTTTGCATAAAGTCACCTAAGGAGCCTTGTTGCTGTCTTCAGGAGCATTGGAGGAATTTGTCTTAATTCTTCACCTTAAGTGACTTTATCCCACTGTGAGTGCAGCCAGTGCACCCACCCAAAATACCTTCTCCTTCAAAACTCCTTCCCAGCCTGGAAGATCAGGGATCACGGACTTCTTTGAAAACTTCTCATCCTGGGAAAGGCTGCCTATAATTACTTTATGGGGCAGCAGCCTGGAAAAGTTCTTGGGGACCAAAGGAGGCCAAGTCTGCCTGCCCTGCACTTCATCAAAGGAGCAGGGAAGAAGGAGTCATCGAGGCATGCGGGCCCACACTGCAACGTCTTCGTGGAACATGGTGAGAAGTTTCTATTGGTATTTGGTTTAATTTTGGTTTGCTGAGCTAGATATAATATGGATGTATTCAAGATTATTTTATGGAGCAGACACAGACGTGTACTTTATGGAAGTCTTGTTTTCTTTCCCTTGCTGCTTAATGCAAATCTTCTGTGATTGTTTATTAAGGAAATACACGGGTCAGATTGCTTGAAACCTGGGGAGAGGTGATTGTACAGCTAAAGGTGAAATGCAAGGAAGTAATTTTTAACACTGTACAAATTTCTCATTTCTGCCTTGGTTATGGTCTGGTTTGAAGTCTGGGAAAGTGATTAATTTTTGAGTTGTCTGTGTCATTATACAGACCAGCCTCAGCCAGTGGTGGTGCTGTGGTCAGTGACAGGTGTTCTTTAATTATCTTTACCGAAGAGACTTTGCTACTTGGAAGGGGAAAAAAAACCTTGTTTTGGAAAGTTTGTGAACTTACTGCTGTTGTGAAAAGAGTTTCTTGTGGCATTTGGAACACCTTTGCTAGTGGTTTCTCTTTTTTCTGGTTAAACCTTCATCCTGTGATGGACTGAAGTGCTAGAGGCCTAAAGTTTGGGGTAGAGCAATCTTGTCACTTGCTGATCTTCTGCAAAGTATGGGGGGAGTTCAGAATCTCAGAAAAGAAGCCAAGTGAAAAACTCAGTAGGACTCGGAAGCAGATTTGGTGACTGCATCAAATTCTTCCTTAAACAACCAATACCAACCAAACTAAAAAACCCCATCCTCCCAAAACCAAAGAAACTGTAAACTGAAGACATCCTTACAGAAGTGAGGTGCAGAAATGCATTGTTTTTGCTTAAATTCTGGAGTAATCCTTGCTTTTGCACAACACTTTTGAAATTCTAATGTTCTTTGAGATTAGGTGCTGCTGGCTGCTGTCTTTGGCTGGAGAATGTGATTTTGACAAAGCTTCTGCAACAGTTTTGTCCTGTAGAGGAAGTTTATCTGTGAACAAAACAAAACTGCATCTATAATCTTTATAGAACTAAAAATTGAAATATTTGCTGTCTGAGAACACAATGCAGTTAGAGGAAAAGTTTTGATTTGTTCTTACTTTTTAAGGGCTTTGCTTTCTAACTTTTTCTCATTCTATGTTTCTAGAAGGGCTCAAGGAATTCTCTGCAGTGTTCAACAAACACACAGAGATCCCATGCTTGTACTACCCTGCTGAAATACTCTTTTGAGTTACTTCAGTGTTTTATTTTCTCATACAATGTTTGTGCACTGAAGAAACTTAAGGTAGTTAAGGGAAGGTTAGAGAATATCAGGGCTAACTTGGCTCTGTGATGTTAAACCTGCTGCTGGATTTTTCCTTGTTTCCTGCTTTTTCTACTTTGGACAGAGTTTCAAGGTCAGACGAGATACAGCCAGAGCACTTGCTGCAAGCAATACAATGTTCTTAGTCCCTTTGGTGTTTTGCTGTGGCAGAAAAGCCAGAAACATTCTTTTTTGATCATCTAACAGCAACAGGCAGATGGTAACTTCTTGCCAGTGTGACCTGAGGTCAGCAGATCCCAGCACATTCACGAGGAAAAATGGCATCTCTAATGTCCATGTGCCATATGTCCACGAGAGACCTTGGTGTCTTGATTTAGAAGAGAATAAACTTGAAAGGGGACATCAGGGCTAGGACATCTGTTGAGAGAACTGCAAAAGATCAGCCTCGCTTATACACATGAGGAAAAGTTTCTTCCTTTGAGTGGATGAAAAGATTCTTCCAAGTCCTGTCAGTAGAAGGCAGTACCACTGTTGTTTATTCAGCTCTTTTCTGAGTTTGGGCTGCTCCTGTCCTGAAAAATTCCATATTAAAAATCTGGACAAATTAAGAGGGAACAAAGTACATTTTAGAAAGTTCTTCCTTTTCCTTTCAGTAATTTGCCTTTGGAATACATAGACTGACATACTTTATAATTAATGAACAGATCAGTATTTAATGCCTTCAGTCCTATTTAATTATTGTGCCATGGGGCTGTAGTTAATAAAAATAAGATTGGTATTTTTTTCAGGGCTTAAATATTTGCATGTTTCCTTTTCAGTACATCATTACACAGTTTCTTTTAAATACCAAACACTGTATCTGGTTTCTCTGTTGCACTGTGGGAACTGGTTTGTCCCAGGAAAATTGTGTTTCTGGCTTTTCATAACTAAGAAGTGCTTAAGGAGAAATTCCATGATGGGCCAGTTAAACGCCTAGAGACAGGTGAATTCTTAAATGTACTTGTCTGAAGTTCTTGTATATTAAAGCCCATGATAAAACAAAGAAGTGGAGCTTTTGGTAGCAGGGCTCTCCTTTTAGGGTTGTGTTTTTATAAAGGCATTCATGATCCTGTTTTGGTGGTGCCATTACCTGCAAAGTTCTGCTGAGGCTCCTTCAGCAGGCACTTAGTAAAAGATCTGGATTGATTCAGTGGTACAGATTTTGGCTGAAAGTGTTAGTGAATATTATCAGTGTAAGGCAAAATAACCCAAAGCAACACATCGAGAGGCTTCTGAAAAGTCAAGGAGGCAACTGGCCAGAAATCAGCTCTGCTGGTGCTCAAATGTTCTGTGAGAATAATGCAGAAAGGCTCTAAATTTTGTCATGAGCTGACAATTGAGGAGTTCCTTAGGGGGAAAAAAGTAATCTATGTGCAAGTTTTGGGCTTCTCTCTTTGTGCTGTTATTTCCCCACCGAGGGTGTTTTACAGGCTGGAGTTCATGCTCGTGTCGTTACCCTGGGCAGCAGAGTAGCCCTTGCTGGGATTCTACAAATTTCACCCTGATGCAGATTACTCCAGCTCACAGTTTGCTTGCAAGCTTGAACTTGAGAGGAATTATAAAGGCAAAGTTTGCTTCTTTCTCTCTGCTTTTCTTGGTGAGAATTGAGTCTATAGTGACTGCTTTTTGGGGATATCCAGCTGAGAAAAAAGTGTGGCCAGTAGACAGCTAAGGGGAAAGACTCTGTCAGCGCACCTTGAAATTTGCACACTAATGTATCTTGTGCCTATCCAGAATGTTAATTTTGGCAAAACTCAAACTTTCTGAACAGAAAGGTGTGTTCTCAGAGGGCTCAGCTGTGATCCCTGGGTTGGCAGGAGCTGGCTGGAGCGATTGGCAAACACCACACCTTCTCTGGCTGTCTTGTGGAGGTGTTGCTGTGCTGAGTGATGAGCAGATCCCCTGAAGCATGTTGGTAGAACAGTATCTCCAAGCAAAAGCAGCACTTGAAGGCTTAAAAAATGAATTCTAATCATTATGTACGTGATGCTGAGATGAGGAAGAGATTGATAAAGCACTCAAATAAAAATAGACTTTTCATAGTCTTACATAGTGATAAAATGTGGCCTTGGAGTTTCCCTTCCAGCAGGTGACTGACAGGGAAGCTTAAATGAGCTGTTTACCTCATTGTAAAGAGTGATAACCTGCAGAACTGGATCCATTTTTCTTTAACATTTAGTGCTGAATATAGCTGAAGTCATCCAACTACAGTCACTGTCATATTAGATCTGAATTCTTTTTCTTACAAGGGTGCTGAAAGTTTTACTGCTTTAATTTGGAAGCAATTGTGCAAAATGGATCTATAGCACCAGCTTGCCACAGCTGCCAGTTGGAGATGTGCCCTATACAGTCCACTGTGAGGAAAAACCCCAACAATTAAAAGTACAATTTCCTACATTATTGATTAAAAATAAATTTTAACGGTCTGTATGTTTAATAATCTATCTTGTTTTATGCCGTTAAGTTTCATGTTTCAAGTACTTCAATTGTGAAAATGAGTAAATTACGTTTTAATCAGTTCTAAGCATAACCCACAATGTGAGCAGC